CGAAACAGCTCTTCACACCAAGCGAGCGTTTTTTAATTCAGTGCTTTGCCGATCGGCGCGGGCCCTCGCACCCCCGCCCTCCTCAAGGCTCCCAGCACTCTCGGGCAATCTCCTGAAGCGGTCTTTCCGTTCGCGTGCGGGCCCAGGGCGTAGCACGCCTCAGCGCGCCAGTAGGCACGGCGGCGGATTTCACAGTTGTACTTCGGACACAAGTGCTACTACTACGACTACTGCTATTAATGCTTCTAATAATATTAGTATGTATAACTACTGTTAGTACGACTACGACTACGACTGCCACTACTACTACTACTACTACTACTACTACTACTACTACTACTACTACTACTACTACTACTACGACTACTACTACTACTACTACTACTACTACTACTACTACTACTACTACTACGTGTAGCATTACTCTTACTACTACTAATAACAATAATACGAATGCTACTACTACTACTACTGCTGCTACTACTACTACTACTATCAATATTACTACTATTTTTTACTACTACGAACACTACTACTACTACTACTACTACTATTACTAATAATAATAATAATACTACTACTACTACTACCACTACTACTACTCCTGCTGCTACTACTACTACTACGAATGATACAAGCGATACGGCTCCCACTACTAAATTTGAATGTGCTGTTATGGATGCAAATGCTCAGGCTGACTTGTCGGCCGCCTACTGTGCTTACGCTCATTAGCAGCCTTAGCATTACGACTCAAATTGGCACAAGTAGGTACACTCATCGGAGCAAGAATACGGGTGCGAATGCGAGTTCTCCTTGCTTACATTAATAACAATACGAGTTACTTCACGGATTAGAGTATTCCTCCAAGTGCGAATACGGCCAGTGAAACAAGTACGACAACGAATCCGAATATTAATACAAACGCTCTGCTAGTTCAAGCCGTCGCCTGATAAATAGTTCTACTAGTACTAACACCCAGAGCATAGCTATCAGTAGTAGTAGTAGTAGTCGTCGTCGTCGTCGTCGTCGTAGTAGTCGTAGTTGTAGTAGTAGTAGTAGTAGTAGTAGTAGTAGTAGTAGTAGTAGTAGTACTACTACTACTACTACTAGCAGTAGTGGTAGTGGTGGTAGTAGAAGTATTAGAAATAGAAGTAGTAGTAGTAGTAGTCGTAGTAGTAGTCGTAGTAGTCGTAGTAGTAGTAGTAGTAGTAGTAGTAGTAGTAGTAGTAGTAGTAATAGTGGTAGGAGTAGTAGTAGTAGTAGTAGTAGTAGTAGTAGTAGTATAGTAGCATACTACATAGTACGTAGCACTTAGTACATAGTGCTTTGCACGTAGGACGTAGTACGTAGTACGTAGTACGTAGTACGTAGTACGTAGTACGTAGTAGTAGTAGTAGTAGTCGTAGTCGTAGTCGTAGTCGTAGTCGTAGTCGTAGTCGTAGTCGTAGTCGCAGTCGTAGTCGTAGTCGTAGTCGTAGTCGTAGTAGTACTAGTAGTAGTAGTAGTAGTAGTAGTAGTAGTAGTAGTAGTAGTAGTCGTAGTGGTAGTGGTAGTGGTAGTAGTCGTAGTAGTAGTAGTAGCAGTAGTAGTAGCAGCAGTCGCAGTCGTAGTCGTAGTCGTAGTCGTAGTCGTAGTCATAGTCGTAGTCGTAGTCGTAGCAGGAGTAGTAGTAGTAGTAGTAGTAGTAGTAGTAGTAGTAGTAGTAGTAATAGTAGTAGTAGTAGTAGTAATAGTAGTAGCCAGAGTAACAGTAACAGTAACAGTGAGAGTAACAGTAACAGTAACAGTAACAGTAACAGTGGTAGTAGTAGTAGTAGTCGTAGTAGTAGTAGTAGTAGTAGTAGTAGTAGTAGTAGTAGTAGTAGGAGTAGGAGTAGGAGTAGGAGTACGAACGCAATAACTCACAATGCGATTGATAATTATAACGTACGGCTACTGCGAATTGCTCTACTCGTTCGAGTAGATAACATCAGCGAGAAGCAGCGAGAGGCTACGGGAGGCAACCCGAGGCCACGTCGGGCAACGGGAGGCAACAGAAAGCAACGGGAGGCTACGGGAGACAACGCCGCCCCCCCCCGAGTCCGGAGCCAGCAGTCCACTCACTAGGCCGTAAAGATTGGTATAGAACCCTTACAACAAGTTGGTCGGGAAAAGATGACACCCTTACAAGTATAGAGCCCTTACGACAAGTTGTTCAGGAAAAGATGACACCCTTGCGGCAGAAGACGCTAGACAGCTACACTCAGTTACGATGGGGGCCACGATGGGGGGGCACAATAGGGTGCCACGATGGGAGATCGTGGTGGGGATAATTCGGGAGAAGGACACTGGGAGGCCATGCGAGGCAACAGGAGGCCACGGGAAACAACAAGCGGCATCGGAAGGCCACGGGAGGCAATGGGAGACCGCTGGAGGCAACGGCCACGGGAGGCCATGGAAGGCAACGGGAGGCTACGAGAGGCCATGGGAGGCAATGGGAAGCAACGGGAGGCCACCGGAGGCCACGGGAGGCCATGGGAGGCCACGGGAGGCCATGAGCCATGAGAGGCCATGGGAGGCAACGGGAGGCAACGGGAGGCAACAGGAGGCAACGGGAGGCCACGGGAGGCCACGACAGGCCACGGGAGACCATGGAAGGCAACGGGAGGCCGCGGGAGGCCACGGGAGGCAACGGGAGGCAACGGGAGGCAGCGTCGCCCCTAAGATTTCGGATTTGGCAGTCCATTCACCCGTACAGACAAGCTGCTCAGGGGGGAAAACACGACAGAAGGCTTGGGCGCGTTTTCGCTGTCTGAGTGCCCTTACGTGGCCCCGGGACCGCCAACACAAATTGCTCAGAACGGACAGCGTGTCCCCAGGAAGTGATCCGGACCTCTCTAGGGGCCCACGTTGCAGGAAAAGTGCGACGTCGGGGATAGAAGGCCGCCCCCTTGCCGAGGAGGAGAGGGGCGCGAGTTCCTGCACAAGGAGATCCGGCGGCTGCGCATCGAGAATGCCGAGCTGAAGAAGCGCGTGTTCCCTTTCCCGCCGCCCTACCTGATCCCGCAGCCCATCCTGGCGGCGCGCAGCAGGGAAGTGGGGCGAGGGGGATGCCGTCCAAGGAGGCAGGGCGTTTCTTGCCTTCCGACCCAGGCGTTGGGAAGATGTCGCGACGACCGTGTTTGTCCACCGTCTTCGGCCTTTGGAGGACGCTCCTCGTCCCCTGAGGGGTCAAACACCAGCCCACGATGGAAAGCTGGCCCCTGGGAAGAAGGGGTCGACATCCCCAGGGTCTTTGGTCGCGAAACACTTGCAGCAATGAAGGGGTGGGTGGGAAGCCTCCCGCCTTCGGAGAAGCCAGCCGTCTTTGGAAGCTTCTGGACCTTTCTCAGCCAGGAATCGGTCGCTTCGGCTTGTTCGGTGCATGTGGCCCCGGACACCCCGACCCCGTTCTCGGTGCTGGTGTTCCATCCGGAGCCGTTTCTTGCCGAGGCCCTTCCGAGACGTCCGATGGGTTGTTTCTTACATCCGCGAGATTTCCCCTCGCGCCAGTCCTCCTCCTGCGCGCCGCCCACCCTCTGGGTTTCCGCGCCCGCCGTGCTGGGGCCCAGCCGGCCGCACGCAAGAGCGACCCGTCACCAGGGCGACCGGGGTCAAGCAGTGGCGAAGCGTCCTGGCGTGCCTATAGAGGCCTACCAAACAATGTTCTAAGAATCTTTTGTGGCTTCCACGAAATATTTTGAGAACACGTCTGGTTTGGACTGTCTTGCTTTAACACATCGGGTTCATGTTCTAAGAACACTGTTTTTGTTCTTAGAACATTTCCGGGTTCTAAGAATATGTCGTGGTAGGCCTGTAGGAATGCCGGGACGGTCGGTCCCTGCTCAACTGGGGCTACACGAAAACATCCAGGTCTCCGACGATGTGAGCGGTCCCAAGGGCCGCTTTCGGGCCGAAGGGCCACCCAAGCATAGATCCGTGACGAGAACCCAAAGATCCGACGCTCCAAGAAGGTTGCAGCGGCAGGCTTTGATCCGTTTTCGGCCTCCGGGAGCCCTCGAAGGGCATCTGGACCACCAAAAAACGACTCGGGACGAAAAGCCCGCCCTGGAGAAGTGGTCCGGACCTCCGGGGCCCTCGCATCGAAAAAATTGGAGCAGCCAGATGCCAGGAGGAGGAGAAAAAAAAGAAAAAGGAGAAAAAGGAGGAGGAGGAAAAGGAGGAAAAGGAGGAAAAGGAGGAAAAGGAGGAAAAGGAGGAAAAGGAGGAAAAGGAGGAAAAGGAGGAAAAGGAGGAGGAGGAGGAAAAGGAGGAAAAGGAGGGAGGAGGAGGGGGGGAGGAGGAGGAGGAGGAGGAGGAGGAGGAGGAGGAGGAGGAGGAGGAGGGAGGAGGAGGAGGAGGAGGAGGAGGAGGAGGAGGAGGAGGAGGAGGAGGAGGAGGAGGAGGAGGAGGAGGAGGGGGGGGAAGCTGGATGGGGAGGAAGAGGAGATGCAGGAAAACAGGGGAGAGGGAGGGGGGCACTGTCCCCAGGGAAAGATCGGGACCTCTGGGGCCGCGGGCTGACACTGACTCGTCGGCGGGTGCCTGGGGGCCCAGGCCTCCCCGCGCCGCGACGAGGTCACGGCGCAGGGCTTCCACAGAATCGTCCTGGCCAGGAGAGGTTGCCCCCCCGGAAATGGTCGAGAGGTCTGGGGACCTTGTGGTTCCAGACCCCCTCGCGTTGCCAAAACACATGTTTGTTGACGGGCTTTCTCAGAGAGCTCGATGTGCAGGCCGTGTGATGCGCTCTGGGGTCCAGGGGCCCTGAGCGCCCGAACCTCCCCCCCCTCGGGCCTAGAGAGACTGGAGGGGGTGGGGCAGCATGCGGAGCAGGTGCAGAATAGATGTCCATAACGTGTTGGCTCTAGCTTCAACGAGCAGCAGCCCTCTCGCGCCTCCCTTTGAGCGCGCGCGGGATTGCAGCCACGACGCGCCTTTCCTGGCTCGCCGCTTGTGTGCTCGGCACCGCTCTGGTGCAGGAGGACGCTTTTGAGGATCTGCTGGACTACGCGTCGGGCGAGTTCGGCAACTTTCTGTCAGGCTCTCCGCTGCTTCTGGGAGACCTCGAGGCCGAGCCCGAGTCGCCCTTCGACGAGCCCAGTGTTGACGCGGAGGACGTCGACCCGTGCGAGGACGAGCCTGAGAGTCAGCCGATGCCCTTCCAGCGATGGAACAGGATCTACTACCGCCCGAGGGCGGACTCCAACCAGGGCCTCACGATGCTCCTGGTCAGCAAGTTCAGCGCCACGCTGGGCGAGAAGAGGTGGGTCTGCATCGACCCGACGGGCAGGCTCCAGGTCCTCGACCTCGGCCAGCCGACGAAGGTGAAGTCGACGAAGTTCGTGGGCGTGAACCACGGCACCTTCCAGGGCCTTTCCGCAGCGGAGAAGCAGAAAGCAATCGAGGCAGCTGACCGCATCATCGCCACAGGGTCCGCAGCTACGATGGGAAAGATCACCAGGGACCACCATCCCCGAGGCGGAGGCGCTGTTGGTCGCAGATCCCACCGCCGCCACGCAGTGTCGTGGCTCATGAAGCTGTGCTCCAACCTCGTCGGCTACGTGTGGGCACGCCAGAGCTTAGGCACTGCTGCTGGTTCGACGTTCGTGCTGTGGCGGGCCGTCGTTTACCTCAACGTTATGGAGTGGGTGAAGTGGGGCTACGCGTCGCTGAAGGAGACCGTGGACACGGTGGATCATTTCAAAGAGGAGATCGAGATGGTGCTCGAGATGCACGAGTCAGGAGCCCTCGAGCCGCTCTACTTCTCAGTGGCGGTGATGCTCGTGAGTGGCTTCTTCATGTCCTGCTGCAGGTCCTCACGTCCCTCGCCAGCTCCATCATCCACAACGTCTTCTGGTGCCTCAGCTCCGGCTCTTCCTGGCTGGAGCTGGCCCTCATGGTCGGCCACGCCGTCACCGAGTCAGTCTGGATCACCGACTCCCAGGGACGAGGGCACTCGGGTGTCAGACGGCGAGGATTCGGACTCGGTGGGAGGCGAAGTTCTGAGGCAGCTGGGTATGGTGGCCGAGAGGCTCTCTGCTCTCGAGGAGCGGCAGGCGTCGCGCCCGACGGAGCCTCCTCAGCCCATTCCAGTTCCGTCAGCACCTCAAGCCCCAGCGAAGCCTTGAATCAGCGCGGACAACTACGACCAGATGATGGTGGAGCAGGACAGCATGGCCGTGATTGCCAGCGGGTCCGAGCCGCGGGTGGTCAGCGCCACGTCCAACCCCGAGATCGACTCGCTGGTCAAGGGCCTGGACGACTCCTTCACGGACATGCGCGAGGTCGCCAAGGAGAAGCTGCAGGCCTACTCCAGCGACGTGGCGTGGACGATCCCAGGAGGCATCAAGACGCGAGTGGCCCCATCGATGGTCGCTCGCCTGCACCGCAGTGGGGCGTCAGCGGTGGCGAGCATCAGAGAGATGATTCGCACGAAGCAGCTGGACGGCAACTACATGGCGGAGGAGGCTCTCCTCATCAGCATGATGCTCGATCGGTCCATGGTGGAGGCGCCCGCGGACTGGATCGACTACAAGACGACGGAGCTGGCGATGCGGCGCCTCCACGGCATCGAGAGGGCCTTCGAGAACGTCAAGCAGAGGTCGGACTGGAAGCCGCCCAACGGCTCCAAGGCCGGCTGGAAGTCCCGCGTCAAGTACGCCCTTCTGGAGGAGCTCGACACGTCCAAGTCGGATCAGGAGGGCCTGCTCATCGACGGCGTGGAGAGGGAGCTTCGCGAACGCTTGGCTCATCGCGCCCTTCTCGCCAAGTCCCTCGACAAGCTGCAGGACAGGAAGCACGCGCCAAGCAAGGACGACTGACCGCTGGGAGGCGCTCACGATTCACGCGCTTCGCGAAGCGCATTCTCTTGGCAGCCATCATCTTCCAGGCTGCCCACATCTGCCACAACTTGTACAGCGTTATTTCCCTAATTTCTCATCACGATGAGAGCGGAGGTCGAATTCCCATCAGAAGGTCGAGTGCGCGACCCCTTGGAGGTGCTGCCGCTCCTGCCGGCGCCGTCTCTCCCTTCATCTCCTTCGGGGCGGTCGAGGTCGCGTTTCGCCCAGGAGCGAGCGATCAGGGCCAGGGCGAACGCCGCTCTGAGGTCCTTAGCCGCGCTGACGACGAACTCCTACCACGACCTGCGGGACTCCAGTTTCGGATCCTCCAAGGAGTGGGCACGAGCCACGAGTTGCCGCGCAGGATCTCCGAGAGGGTGCTGCAGTGCCACCGGGGCGCGCACGATCAGAAGATGCACGACTCCGACGCCGAGTCCGCTTTCGAGCGGCTGGCCTTGCATGCCAAGCCTGGGGCCCACATGGGATTCAATGTATCAGACAAGGACGACGACGACGTGCCGCGACGACGGAAAGTCATGCCCTTCGTGAGCGGCGAGGCGTCTCTGCCTCCAGCAGGGGCGCAGCCATGCGACGTGAGGATGATTTTACCGAGAGCGAGATACTACTTCGACAGAGTCCACGAGAGGATGCGCCTGCCGCCCAGCCAGGTCGACGAGGCCGACATCGAGAAGACGAGAGCCTACATGGACCCCAGCTTGAGGAGCAAGTCGGCTCGCCTCCAGTTCGCGCTGAGACTATGGGAGTCAGGCATGCTCGGCTTCACGGACATCTGCATGGCGGAGGTCTCGGTCTTCTTCGTCATGAAGAAGGTCAACGAGGCAGGCCAGCTCATCCTTCGCCCAGTCTGGGACCTGAGGCAGGTGAACATGCGTTTTCAGAAGCCACCGCACCTCTCTCTGGGGTCTCCGATGGCGATGGCGGAACTGGACCTATCCGACGAGATCACAGAGGGCCGGGCCTTGCAGTCAACGTGGGGAGACGTGCCAGATTATTTTCACAGATGCAAGAGCTGCAGCGAGCTGTGGCCGTACATGGTGTTCGGGGGCGCGACGATCCCCCAGCTCTTGAAGGAGCTCAAGCGCCAGGACAAGGAGGTCCCGAGGGTCCCGAAAGGGGCCCGCTACCTGTGCCTGGTGGTGATGCTGATGGGCTTCAGCTGGTCACCCGCGATCTGTCACGGTTCTCTGGAGGACCTTCTGCGCGATCTACCCGGCTCCCCGCGGGGAGCTCAGCTGGTCCACGGGCGTGTCCCTCCCAGCTTCTCCGAGACGGCCTTCATCAACTGGGCGTTCATGGACGACTTCGCCTCGATGACTTTGCAGCAGGACGAGAAGAGCGAGGTGACGGAAGCAGTTCGCGACCACGCTGGGAAGAAGCTCAAGGAGGTGGGCCTCGACATGCACAAAGACGGAGTCGGGGCAGCGATGCCTCTCTCTCTCTGGGCGTGACGATCCATCAACGCCCTCATCGCTTGATGGCAGCGCAGGAGAAGGTCAAGAATGTCATCGGTGCGTTCAGGGCTCTCCTGGATCGAGGTCGAGCGACTTCAACCGAGCTATCAAGGATAATTGGGTCGCGGGTGTGGTTGGCAATGTGCTGTCGGGCCGCCTTCTGCACGCTGGACGCCTGCTACAAGTTCGTGACAAAGTACGGCGACGACGAGCAGGTTCACATCCTGTGGGAGAGCGTGACCAACGAGCTGTACATGCTTTACCACCTGGTCCCGCTGATGTATACCCACTTGGAGTCGCAGTGGAGCCCCAGCGTCTTTGCGACGGACGCAAGCGAAGAAGGCCTGGGAGTAGTCGTGACGACAGCAAGCCGAGAGGAAGTCCAAGCCGAAGTAAACCGACAGTGGAGAGCCGAACATCTTCGAGACATGGCCAGGGACGAGGAGGAGGAGGAGCTGCTCAGTGGCGAGAACCTCGAGCGAGCCAGACGAGTCATCCCCCCAGTGGTGATCGATAGCGAGGTCCCTCCGATGAAGTTCATGGCCGACATCTTCTCGGGGCACGGCGGCTTCGGGCAGGCGATCCGCGAGGAGTTGCAGTGCCAGACCTTGTTCGTGGACAACGCACAGCAGGCGCGCCACGACCTGCTGGACCCGTCCTTCGTCGAGCTCGTCTGTCGTGCAGTTATTCGGCCCCTCTTCTTCATGGTCCACTTGGCCCCTCCGTGCTCCACTTTTTCACGAGCACGTCGACCTCCCTTGCGAGCCCCAGGCCGTTGGATACGTGGTCTCCCCGGGCTTTCTCCTCAGCAGGTTCAGAGAGTCCGGGAAGGCAACGCCTTGGCAGAGGCAGCGATCTCTATTTGCTATGCTTGCCTGGCATCAGGAACAGGTTTTTCACTAGAGAATCCCAGGATTTCGATGATCTGGGACCTCCCCGACATGGCGAAGTTGTTGACGATGAATGGAGTTCTTGTGGTGGAAATGGTGCGCTGCTCTATCGGAGCCCGATGGAAGAAGCCAACTCGGATACTGACCAATGTGCAGGCGCTGAAAGAGCTGGAGCGCAAGTGCTCTCAGGATCACGATCATCAGGAGCTTCGGGGACGCGACTCTCAAGGACGACTCTGGACACGCCTCGCAGCGGTCTACCCGCCCGCTTGTGCAGAGCCTACGCCTCGTGCGTGGCCAAGGCCGTGTCCAACAGCGAGCTGAAGCTGCACGATTGGCGCACGCGGGAAGTTCGAGGCGCATCGCCGAAGCCGATCGCAGTCATGAGTCACTGGACCAAAGTATCCCGATGGCATCTCGCATGGAAAGGGGCATGGGCGTATCACGATCACATCAATGTGCAGGAGATGAGGACGGTCGCATCGGTATCTCGTCACCTGTGCCGCTCATCAAGGAACTGGTTCAGCCGAGTCTTGGTCCTGTGCGATTCTATGGTGACGGTGGGCGCAGTCAGAAAGATGCAAAGCTCCTCGCGACCTTTGATGACGCAGCTAAAGAAGATCGGTGCGATCACGCTGGCCACCGGTATCCGATTGACGCTGAGGTGGACCCCCACGGACATGAACCCTGCCGACGGCCCGTCGAGAGGCGAGGAGATAGGCAGCGCCGAGATCACCAAGACCAAGTCCGAGCAGAAGAGGACCGTGACGGACAGCGACTTCGAGTTCGAGAGGCTCTTCGGGGACATGCTGGAGATCAGGGGCACGCACGACGACTACGACCTGGCCTGGCATCTGCGATGACGATCCTGATTCTAGCTTCTGATCCAGAGATCAGGGTCACAGCCACGGCAGACCCGAAGTTGAACGACCAGAACGAGAACTTCCATTTTGACAGCGACCACACCTTCGACAACGAAGACGAGCCGGCGGTTGATGACATAGGAATGTTCGCAGGAGCGCTCGAGGCAGCGGTGGCAGCCAAAAAGACAGCCAAGAAGAAAGGTAAGCAACGAGCTCACGTTCCCCAGAACAAGAAGGGCCCCCTCGCCTTCGAGAATGCCGCTCGGGAGCCCCCAGTGTCGAGAACAAGCCTGGGCTCGGGCACGCTGGAGGTACCTCTGCGGCTTCTCGCTCACGCAGTTCAGGACAACACGAGCGTGCGCTACATCAAGGAGGTGGAACCTTTTCTCGTGAAGGTGCGTCTCAAGAGGCTTCCTTTCGCTACAGCGGCCGAGCGCGACATCACCCTAGCGGCGGAGCTAGACCAACTGTGCTTCGTGGAGAGGGCATCGGTGTCAAGAGGAGTTCAACTGTATCATGGACTGGTCCATCTGTTTCCAGAGTGGAAGTCTGAGCTACCGATTTCCTTGCGTGCCCTGCACAGCTGGGAGAAGTTCCAGGAGTCCTGGGAAGGTGGCCCAGCCTCTGCAGAAGCAATCTATATAGCCTCCCAGGCGATCAAAGCAGGCCACGTGGACGAAGGTATAGCCTTTCTTGTAGCTTACGACTGTTATCTTCGAGAACAGGATTGGTTGCAGTTGAGAGGTGAAGACGTTCATGTCAGTGTCAAGATGTATTCCAACGACCTTCCAAGTTATGACACTCAGCATGCAGTTGGTGTGATCAAAGTGGCGCTACTTCTAGGACGTAGACACCGAGGTGAAAGCGTCAAGACAGGTCAAGAACAAGGAGTGGCGATCGACAGCGGTCCTCTCTCACACATCTTGGCGGAGCGTGTCAAGCAGTTCAAACCAACCGACAAAGTCTTCAATACCACAGCTGCCAAAGCGACTTCAGTTTGGAGAGGCATTCAATCAAAGTTCGGACGTGAGTGGATCGGACCCATGCATGCGTTGAGACACAGCGGACCGAGTTCCGATATCTTGCACAAGAGACGTGCAATTCAAGAAGTTCAGAGACGCGGACCGTGGACACAAGCCAAGTCGATGGCCAGGTACGCGAAGCCACATTCTCTTATCGTTCATGACGCACGGTTACCTGCAAAGATCAAAGACGCGGGCCACAGGGCCCTTCACGATCTGAGCTCGACGCTGAGGAGCATCCCTACTCAGAGCCCATGGCGATCTGCAGCATCGCGGGGCTTGACGTACATCGCAGGATCTGACGCCGGCCAGGCCATGGAGCCCGTGGATCCGGAAGCCTGAGACGCGGCGGCGTGCCAGGCACTGTGGCCTCTTGCCTTGAGCCAATTCTAGACGCTTCGCGCATCCCCACCAGCCCGTCCAGAAACGACGCCCAGGCGAGTAGAGGGTCGTCCTGACGGCTTTTCGGCGCCTTGGGTGCCTCGGGGGGGCCTCTGTGGGCCGTTCGGGATCCTCTTTGGGGCCTCCTGGGGGCCTCTTGGGGCCTCTTGGGGCCATCTTGGGGCCTTTGGGGGCCTCCTGGGCGCTTCTTGGGGCCTCCTGGGGGCTTCTTGGGTGCCTCTGGGGGGTCTCTTGGGGCCTCTTGGGGGTCTCTTGGGGGCCTCCTGGGGGCCTCTTGGGGGGCCTCGGAGCCATCTTGGAGGAGATCGATCAACGAAGGGGGGGTCCCCAATTACAGCCCCCCCCCCTCAGGAGCCACGATCCTCGTGAGGGGTGTCGAATTTTAGCCCTCCCAGGGGTCGATCTTGGGCGCTCCAACGCGCCGCGGAACCCCCTGTCCAGGTCAGTGGGGAGGGGGTAGGGGGAGGGGTAAACCCCTCCCCGAAGGGGAAGAGGGAGGGGTGGAAGAGGAAACGCTCTAAACCACCGACGCCCAGAGGGCTGGTGGGATTTGCCTCCTCTCCCTCCTCTTCTTTCATTGTATCATCAGTGCTGACGCACCCACCCCCCCAGTCCCAGTCTTTAAGTGAGAACCCGAGGTTGCGGGGTGTGGGGTGTTTTTTCTTGGGCCCGTGCCTCTCGTGGCTGCTTGGGCCCAGGCTCTCGCCGACAGCGGCGAGCGAAACCTTCCGATCGGCGTGCTGCGCGAGCCGAGGGTAGTGTGAAAAGGATCCCGTCTGGCCATCTTGGAGCTCGTTCTCAGAATACATGTTTGTTAACGGGCTTTCTTAGAGAGCTCTATGTGCAGACCGTGTGATGCGCTCTGGGGTCTAGGGGCCCTGAGCGCTCGACCCCCCCCCCCATCGGGCCTAGAGAGACTGGATGGGGGTGGGGCAGCATGCGGAGCAGGTGCAGAATAGATGTCCATAACGTGTTGGCTCTAGCTTCCCATCCCGACCCTCCCTTGTTTGAGGTGTGTTTTTTTCTTGGGCCCGTGCCTCTCGCGGCTGCTTGGGCCCAGGCTCTCGCCGACAGCGGCGAGCGAAACCTTCCGATCGGCGTGCTGCGCGAGCCGAGGGTAGTATGAAAAGGATCCCGTCTGGCCATCTTGGAGCTCGTTCTCAGAAAAGATAATTAGCCTGGCGAAGAACCCAACCATATGCACTTGTGAGTACCGCAGCTGCGGGTTTCATCATCAGTGGAACTCCCCATGGGACCACGGAACGTGTGAGGGGTGTGCCGAGATGGGTGCCACTGGTGCATTCGGTGAAGCTCCCTATGGAGACATGAAACACGCGCGGGGCGTGCCGACATGGGTGGCGGAAACGCATGTGAGGGCCGCCGCTGGGGCCTCCAGTGGAGCTCCATATGGGTCCCCGAAACATGATGCTGCTGCGGGGGGGGTGCCCGGATGCGTGGCGGAGACGCATGTAAGCGCCACTGGGGCCTTCGGTGGAATTCCCTATGAGGCCACGAAGCGCGTGAGGGGTGTACTGGGATGTGTGGCGGAGACGCATGTGAGCGCCGCCACTGGGGCCTTCGGTGGAGCTCCCTATGGGGTCACGAAACGTGTGAGGGGTGTGCTGAATTGTGTGCGGGTGGTGACGCATGCGGGCGGTGCAACTGGGGCCTTCGGTGGAGCTCCCTATGGGGCCACGAAACCTGTTGTTGTGAGGAGCGTGCCGGGATGGGTGGCGGGGACGCATGTGAGCGCGGCCGCTGGGGCCTTCGGTGGGTCTCCCCATGGGGCCACGATCCGTGTGAGGGGTGGGCCGAATTGGGTGCGGGTGGTGACGCATGCGGGCGGTGCCACTGGGGCCTCCAGTGGATGATGGGGCCACGAAACCTGTGAAGGATGTGCCGAAATGGGTGTGCGGGACACATGCGCATGTGAGCGACGCCGCTGGGGCCTTCGGTGGAGCTCCCTATGGCGCCACGAAGCGTGTGAGGGGTGTGCCGAATTGGGTGTGCGGGACGCATGCGGGCGGCAGCACTGGGACATTCGGCGGAGTTCCCTATGGGGTCACGAAGCGTGTGAGGGGTGTGCCGAATTGGGTGTGCGGGACGCATGCGGGCGGCAGCACTGGGGCCTTCGGTGGAGCTCCCTATGGGGCCACGATCGTGTGAGGGGTGTGTGCCGAATTGGGTGTGCGGGACGCATGCGGGCGGCAGCACTGGGGCCTTCGGTGAAGCTCCCTATGGGGCCACGAAACGTGTGAGGGGTGTGCCGAAATGGGGTGTGCGGGACGCATGCGGGCGGCAGCACTGGGGCCTTCGGTGGAGCTCCCTATAGGGCCACGTGAGGGGTGTGCCGAAATGAGTGTGCGGGACGCATGTGGGCGGCAGCACTGGGGCCTTCGGCGGAGCTCCCTATGGGGCCACGAAGCGTTTGAGGAGTGTGCCGAATTGGGCGGTGCGGGACGCATGCGGGCGGCAGCACTGGGGCCTTCGGTGGGGCACCCTATGGCGCCACGAAGCGTGTGAGGGGTGTGCTGAATTGGGTGTGCGTGACACATGCGGGCGGCAGCATGGGGCCTTCGGCGGGGCTCCCTATGGGGCCACGAAACGTGTGAGGGGTGTGCCGAATTGGGTGTGCGGGACGCATGCGGGCGGCAGCACTGGGGCCTTCGGTGGAGCTCCCTATGGGGCCACGAAACGTGTGAGGGGTGTGCCGAATTGGGTGTGCGTGACGCATGCGGGCGGCAGCACTGGGGCCTTCGGTGGGGCTCCCTATGGGGCCACGAAACGTGTGAGGGGTGTGCCGAATTGGGTGTGCGTGACGCATGCGGGCGGCAGCACTGGGGCCTTCGGTGGAGCTCCCTATGGGGCCACGAAACGTGTGAGGGGTGTGCCGAATTGGGTGTGCGGGACGCATGCGGGCGGCAGCACTGGGGCCTTCGGGGAGCTCCCTATGGGGCCACAAAACGTGTGAGGGGTGTGCGAAATGGAGTGTGCGGGAGCATAGCACTGGGGCCTTCGGCGGAGCTCCTATGGGGCACGAAACGTGTGAGGGGTGCGAATTGTGTGTGTGGTGACGCATGTGGGGGCCTGTCCCTATGGGGCACGCAAACGTGCGCGCGGGACGCATGCGGGCGGCAGCACTGGGGCCTTCGGCGGAGCTCCCTATGGGGCCACGAAACGTGTGAGGGGTGTACCGAATTGGGTGTGCGTGACGCATGCGGGCGGCAGCACTGGGGCCTTCGGCGGAGCTCCCTATGGGGCCACGAAACGTGTGAGGGGTGTGCCGAATTTGGTGTGCGTGACGCATGCGGGCGGCAGCACTGGGGCCTTCGGCGGAGCTCCCTATGGGGCCACGAAACGTGTGAGGGGTGTGCCGAATTGGATGTGGGTGACGCATGCGGACTGGGGGAGGGGAGGACGAGGAGAGGAGAGGAGAGGAGAGGAGAGGAGAGGAGAGGAGAGGAGAGGAGAGGAGAGGAGAGGAGAGGACGGAGAGGAGAGGAGAGGAGAGGAGAGGAGAGGAGAGGAGAGGAGAGGAGAGGAGAGGAGAGGAGAGGAGAGGAGAGGAGAGGAGAACGCGGGGCGACGTCTCTTGAAAACGAGGACCCAACACCACAGGATGGTTGGGAATAATCAGAACTCGGCTCCCGAGGGCCCTTACCGGCCTCCGGACCGTCAAGAAACGGCTCGGGATGAAAAGCCGGTCCCTGGGAAGGGGTCGAGACCTCTGGGAGGTCGACCTTGTGAACAAAAACACGACCTCGGGGGGCTGGGAGAGTTGTCGAATTGTCGAGTAACTGCCGGACGGGGCTGGGACGAGGATAAGTCCGTTCCAGAGCGTTCGGGAACGCTCAGCGCCCGAGACATCCTTCAATGCCGCTGGATCTCAGATATTCTAGATTTACCGTAGAAACCCATGCCAAGAAACACCCTGCTTGCCTCCAGGGTGCCCTGGGTGTCTTGGATGTCGATGGTTTTGCTATAGAAATCGTGACGTTCCCACACCAAAAATCAATGGACGTCCTGGGGTCTCAGGGTTGGGTTTCTTGTGGAAGGTCTCCTGTGGTCGAGCTCCTCCTGCATCCTCAATATCGATTAACCGACCCCCATCCCCATCCTCATCCCCCTGGAGACCCCCACCAAATTACCACCCCAGTTGGGGATACACCCCTCGAAAACGACCTATATCCCCATCTAGGGGGGTAAATCGGGCAGTGGGGCCCAGGCCACGCCGCTGGGGATGGGGGTCGGATAAACGATGCTCATAGCCTCACCCGATTTTGTCCTCGTCCTGGCTCCGTCTTAAACTGGCCCTCCAGAAACTGTCGAGCGGCCCCTCGCCCGAGGCATCTTTGCTGCGCGGCTGGCCCATGGGGCCCCTGGGCCGGTGGAAGCCGTACGCATGAACGATAATGGATGGACGGCGCGTTTGCCCGCGCGGGCAACGCGCGGGCACGAACGACTGGCCCTCCATGACCGCCAACATTGGATGCCAATCGTACCCGATCACATACGTGAGCGATAGATTGAGCATACACGGGCCATTCAGCCCCCATTGCAGACCCCTTGTTGCAGACCCCTTCTTTCCCCCTCCAAGGGGGGGGGGCCAGGCCCAAGTACGCAGGTCGCTGCTGCCGCATTGCACGCAGCGGTCGACGCGCTACTCCCCCCGCGCAGACTTCCGCTGGATTGATCTGTCAAAGTTCGGAGGTCTCGACCCCTCCTACGGGGGCAGGAGGAGGAGGAGGAGGAGGAGGAGGACGAGGAGGACGAGGAGGACGAGGAGGGGAAGGGGGAGGGGGAGGAAGAGGAGGGGGAGGAGGAGCAGGAGGAGCACGAAGGAGTGGGGGGAGGAGAAGCATGAGGAGGAGGAGGAGGAGGAGGAGGAGGAGGAGGAGGAGGAGGAGGAGGAGGCCCAGTCTTGCGTCTTGCCCATGGGGCCCGCCCCTGCGTGCGGCCGAGCCCATGGTCGCTGCCCCGCCGGCCGCGGCCGGGCCAGAGGATCCACGGCAGAGGACGCCGCCAGCGACCCGCGCGCCAGCAGCAGGCAGCGTGGTCGCGTCCGGGCAGGTTCGCCAGGGAGGAGCGGGGTCCCGAGGCAAACGGGTCCTGGAACCCTGTCGTTTTCCCGAGTTCGTGCTTGGCGTTCCTGAGGGCCGTGGAGGGCCCCGTGGAAGGCCGAAGCAGGGGAAAATCGAGGACCCGCTTCCTCCAGGGCCGTTTCGGCCATGCTGGCAGGTGTCTCCGGCCCTGCACGGTGCCGCCACGCCAGTCCAGCAGGCGTTCTGCTATGCCGTGCCGCTCCCGCAGGGGTTGGCGAGCCCTGCGGGCGCGCCGTGGCGCGCGATGGGGCCCATCCTGCACGCTGTGCCCATCGGCGGTGCACACATGGTCGGATCTTTTGTCGCCGCCGTCCGTCGTCCTCGTCGTCCGTGGTCGGTCGGTCGATCGGTCGTCCGTGGTCCGTGGTCCGTCGCCGTTGTCGTCGGTCGGTCTGTCCGTGTCGTCGTAGTCGTCGGACGATCGGTCGTCGCCGTCGTCTTCGTCGTGCCAGGTCGGCAGCGGCGCCTCCTCGGCCATGTCCCCTCTGTCGGACGTCTCCCTGCAGGAGCGGCTGCTGCCGAGGAGGCTGTGTAGCAGCGACCCCGACTCATCGCACGCGTCGTTGGTCTCCGACACTGTGCACCCAGAGAGCAGGAGCGGCGCGGACGTAGTGGCCGGTGCAGTAGCGGTGGCTCGAGGTTCGAGATTTTCAGGCCGCTTCGTCGGTTCCCGCATGTCTGCCACGGACGTAGTGGCCGGTGGGTACAGTAGCAGGGATTTGAGGTTCGAGGTTTTGAGACCGTTTGTGTCGGTTCTTGGAGTTTGCACGGGGACGTAGTGGTGGGAGTTCGAAGATCGAGGGTTTGATGCCGTTCTCGTAGGTTCCCAGAGATTTCTCAGCCCCCGGGCTGCTCTTCGGCAACTACGCCTTGTCGAGGGCGTGCTGGGGATGCCCAGATGGCCGCCAGAGTCCATGCTCCGAAAGCCATTTGCCTTCCGCCGCCACACCCCTCTTCCCAGACCCAGACATCAGATTTCTTGATTTCTTGTATGCGTAGAAGTCCCGACCGCGCCCCCAGTGCCGACTTCGCATCCTAAGTCGCTTCTGGATTGCACTGGAACCCGGAAGCGACCTGAAGAGGCCGAAAGAGGCGAACCAGGTTCGTCTTGTTCTCAAGGTGCCGGACGCATGGGCTCCGCCGCCACACGGCCTCTTGCGGGGGTCTTAAGGGGGCTCCGAGAGCACTTGGAACCGTATGTTGGCTCTCGCCATGCCTCCTGGGAGTATGTCGGAAGCTATCTTGAGCCACCTTCGGCTATCCTTGAGCCGCCTTTTGGAGGCCCATCTTGAGCTTCCCAGAGAGCAGGAGCGACGCGGACTTGGTGACCGGTGCAGTGGCGGGGGCGGCCATCGCGGCTCCGTCGCGGGGCGGCCCCGACGAGTGCTGGGTGTGCATCCCCTCGGGCATCGTCGAGAGGAACAAGGTGCAAATGTCGATCCAAAACGCGACGATGATGGCGACGACGATGACAACGATGGTGATGGCTTTCGTCTCGCCGACGACGACGACGACAACAACAACAATGACAATATCATCAACGGCAATCATGGTAAGACAGATCGATCTGATCTGTTCGCGTGTTATTTAACATCTATATATATATATATATATATATAGATACCAAACTCTTGATAGCCACCCTCTTCGTCTTCGATCGTCCCCCCCTTGGAGGTGTACCTTCCTTACCTGCCACGTGTAGCTGGCGCAGCCCCTTCAACAGGGGAAGGAAGGGAGGAGGAAAGAGACAAGGGGGAGGGAGAAGGATGGAGCATGAGAGAGATTCACAGGAGGGGGGTTAGGAGCAGTAGAACCAGCGTGAGAACCAGACGGGCAGGTCGGGCGGGCGGACCCTAACGGGCAGGTCGGTGAGGCGGTCCCAGGCGGCCGGGTCGAGCGGGCGGGTCGCTGAAGCGTCAGACTTACATAAATCGAAAGGGAGTATCGACCGACAGCGCGATTCCCAAACACGTCGACCCGTGCCGCTCTTCTGGCGAAGGCACGCGGCCAAAATTGCGGAGGAGCAGGAGGAGGAGGACGAGGACGAGGAGGAGGAGGAGGTGGAGGAGGAGGAGGAGGAGGAGCGGGAGGGGGGGAGGAGGAGGAGGAGGAGAAGGAGGAGAAAAGGAGGAGGAGGGGGAGGGGGGAGGAGGGGGAGGGGGGGGAGGAGGAGGAGGAGGGAGAAGGAGGAGGAGGAAGGGAGAGGAGGAGGAGGTGGAGGAGGAGGAGGAGAAGGAGAAGGAGAAGGAGGAGGAGCAGGAGGAGGAGGAGGAGGAAGAGGAGGACGAGGAGGAAACGATTGCAAACGATATTGTGTGCCTACCCGGTGGTAGCCTCCGCTGGCCGCGCGCCTCCCGGCGACGCCTGCCGCCCCCTCGGCGGCCTGCGCCCCCTGTGCCGCCTGCGCCCCCCGCGCTCGCCGACTCTCGGCGGTCGGGGCGTACCTCCTCCCCCTCCTCCTCCTCTCCTCCTCCTCCTCCTCCTCCTCCTCCTCCTCCTCCTCCTCCTCCTCCTCCTCCTCAGCGGGGCCCATTCACATGCTTACCCAGGCGATTTGGTCCTCGTGGATCCCTCGGGAGTCGATTGCTCGGTTGATGTTTGCATCTGATGCCGCTTCCATGGCCGACCCCACCAAAAGCGACTGGCCCCTGGTCAAAGGTCCGATCTCGGCTGCCGTCGCCCGCTGCCGTCGCATAGGTTTGAGGCTCGGACCAGGAGTGTGCATGCTTTTAACTCAGGACGGTTATAAGATTGATCTCACTAGTATGTGCCCTCGCTCTGTGCTGCACGTTGCTCGCCTCGCGATCGAGGATTGGCTGATGGATCGTGCCCACCAGAGCTGCCACTACATGTCGAGCCTCTCACATAGGCCGTACCTGTCACCCATCCGCAAGCTGTGCAATGGAGCGTGCGGGCCTGACTGGAACATCCAGCACCCTCGCCGCCTGGATTGCGGGCGAGTGCTCGGCCACCTGGCAGTCTGTGCGGGACTATGATTTCCCCCTTTCTGTCCGTGAGGGCCTCCGTGAGCACCCCGACTGGGCCCTTTGGAGGCACGGCCTTGTCCCGGACCCTCGGCCCTGGGTGATCGGTCCCTCCTCCCTACTCGTCCGCTGGCTCATGCGTCCGCTGGTCGGCCATTTCGAAGGTGAGGCCTTCGGCGACGGCTCGTGCGTGTCGCTCGTACAGGGCGACATGCGTCTCCTACGCGCGGGCTGGTGTGTCGTGCAGGTCGACGACAGTGGGGGCCTCGTGGCGTCCCTGTGCGGCCTGCTGCCTGGCCAGCACCAAGCGTCGGACCTGGCCGAAGCCTATGGCCTGCTCATGTATCTCACGCGCGCTGGGCGGGGCCCCTGTCGCTACCATACGGACTGTGATTTGGTGGTTTTGAGCTTACAGCGTGGCCGTTTCGAGACCACGGGCGCCGTGTGCGAGGGCGCTGACGTGTGGTCTCAGATATGAGATCGGGTGGACGACCTTGGGGGGGGTGGAAGTGCGGAAGGTGAAAGGCCATGCCCGCCGCCGTCACGATGACGAGCAGGAGCTGGGTGCTGTCGCGAGGTGGGGGAACCGCCACGCTGATGCTGGCGCCCGTGCGGGCGACTCCCCCCATCCCACGGATGCCGAGGCCAGCCAGCGCGCGCAGCGCTCCTTTAAGCTGGTCACCTGCGTGGCCAAGTTCCTAGCCAGGACAATGCAGGCTGTCGGCCCCAAGTCGCATCAGGCGCCGCGCCACGGACAACTGCGGCGGGCCAAGCGACGGGGGCCGACGCCAGCCCTCACGGCGGACACGGAGCCGCCCCCCGATTCCTCTTTGCCCGTGCCGTCCCCCACGGGCTTCAGGTGCGCCAGGTGCTTCCGCGTCGCTCGGCAACGGGGCGCCTTCATCCCAGCCGTGTGCGCCCCTGGAGTGGGCCACCGCGTCTGGCACGTGGGCCAGTTCGTCTTCTGCGCCCGCTGTTGTGAGCACTCCAGCGAGAATGCGCAGCTCCTGGCGCTCCCTTGCCACAGTGGAGTGCCCCCCAAGACGCGCACTAGTTTAGACCGTCTCTGGGAGGGCCTGCACCCTCGTACTGAGCAGCCCCTGCTGTCGTCTGTGCAGGGACAGCTGAGGCCTCGCCCATTCGGCGAATATGTCCTCGACGCCACCTACGGGGGCCTGGTCGTGGTCAAGGACGATTGCGCTGAGTTGGGCTAGCCTCCTGTCCCTTCCTCGTGCGGCACTCCTTGGAGGGATGTGCCCGAGGCTTTACTTGTCAGGCTCTCGCCTGAGTCTGTCTGCGTAGCCAGCCCCGCTTGCACGCTTTTCAGCCGCGCCTGGATAAAACTCCTCCTCCTCCTCCTCCTCCTCCTCCTCCTCCTCCTCCTCCTCTTCCTCCTCCTCCTCCTCCTCCTCCTCCTCCTCCTCATCCTCATCCGCCTCCTCCTCCCCTCAGCCTCCTCCTCCTCCTCTCCCCTCCTCTTTCCTCGTCTCCTCCTCCTCCTCCTCTTCCGCCTCCGCCTCCTCCTCCTGCTCCTCCTCCTCCTCCTCCTCCTCCTCCTCCTTGTCCTCCTCCTCCTCCTCCTCGTCCTCCTCCTCCTCCTCCTCCTCCTCCTCCTCTTCCTCCTCCTCCTCTCTGATCCGCTCTCTCCGCCGGGAGGGCGGGAGGGGCTCTCTTCCCGCCCCTGCTGGCAGGAGCGCGAGCGGGGGCGGGGTAGGTGGGCGAGAGCGCGAGGGCGGGAGGGCAGGAGCTCGGCATCGCTCGGACGCATGCTCCGGTTTCCCCGGCAAAGGCCCTCGCGGAGCGTTTTCGACCATCGCTCGAAACATGAAGCGCACGGCATCGACAATGGTCAGACGATCGCAAGCATGGATCAATGGGGCGTGGATTAGCGACGGGTCCCGTTTCCATTGGAAATCGCGGATTTCCGCCGCCGAACAAGGCAGCACCAAGGCCGCGTTTTGGGGAGGGCACCTCCCCAGATCCATGGATTTGGCGACTGCGCGCCAAATCCATGGATCGCTAATCCATGCTTGCGCGCCCCCGACACTAGGATTTCGACCGCACGAAACATTGGATCGCTCGATACCAGAGCGGGGTGCGCGAGGGGTGGGTGCCCTGTGCGTCTCAGGCTCGCAGGCCGCGGCAGGCGTGGCACTCTCTCGACGCGGGCGAGGGCGTGGGCAAGGGGCGGGTGCCCCAACCCGTCAGCGTCGTCACGAGTGGATCGCCACCAGGGAGGCATGCAGCAGGAACTCGACCACTATCAGACCACCCCAGCCCAAGCCGAAGACCCACACGGATCGCGTCGCCGGCGACATGGGCCTCCGTGCCGCGGCGGGGCGGCGGCAGCGCCGTCGTGCTCTCTCTCTCTTCGCGACGTGGCTCGCCCGGAGGTCTGGCGCCCTGCCGAGACGCCCGCCGACGCCGTGAAGCAGAAAGCGCGGCGGCGATTTCGTCGACCCTGGCGATCATGACCCTGTTCGTTGCTCTGCCGATCGGCGCTGGGCCCTCGCCCGCCCCCCTCCCCCCCCCCCCGTGGAGTAGATCTCGGCTGTCTCGGGCGCCTGCTTCGAGCAGATGGGCGGCTCCCCAGAGGATTCCCCACGGGAGCATCGCTCCAAACAGTCGCACGAAGCAGAGTTCGATTCTGGAGCCAGAGCCTCCCCTCCCCCCCTTCCGCCCAATGTGATTTTTTTTTATTTTTTTTATTTGTTTATTAATTGTTTTAACCAAAAATATTGTTGTGTAGTTCGCAATAGGTCGGGAAGCCTCAACCAATGTCGGAACGCCGAGTAAGAAAACGTCCACCTTGCGGCCTCTGGAGGTCGTTTCCGGGCTCCGAGTCGATCAAAGAGCGACTCGGGACGAGAAGCCGGGCCTTGGAGAAGTGGTCGGGGCTTCCAGGGTTCTCTGGGGGCCATTCTCTCTGGGGTCCCGGGGGCCGAACTTTCAGCCCGAGCCGTTGTTTGATTGCCCCCGGGCCGGGAAGCGCCCCCCACAGGCCGAAACATGTGTTGAAGATCTCCGATCCAGATTCTCTCACGGTGCGGAGGCGGCTCTGGGTCCACCCGCCCGCTTCCTCCCCCTCGCCCCGCGCGCGGCCCCCAAAGGCGCAGTTCGAGGGGCGGGCCGGCGGCGACACCGCCGTCGAGGCTCGGTTCGGGCGAAAGCGGGTGATTGGGAAAGGGGCAGGGGGGGGGGCGGGGCGAAGTCTGCCGCGCCAGCTGGTTTCAGCCCCGCCGCCGCGCGCCTTTCCCCGATGCGCCGGCGCCTCCCGACGCTAGGAGGCGCCGGAAAAGCCAGCTGCGTGAGTTGATTCGATGTAGCAACCCCTTTGCTCCCCCCGTGTCCAGACATCCGACGATGCGATTTTGCTCAATCCGCGGCATCAGAGGTCCCGACATAGGTGGGCTTTCGTCCCGTATCTGTTTCCGATGGCCCAGAGTCCCGAGGGTCCCGATTAACGGTCCCCAGGGGCCAAAATCACGGAAAAACGCTGGGGTTGGAAAACGCACATCGTTGGAGATTTAGGCTTTCGTAATTAAGGGTGGCCCTTCGCCAGAATGACCCACGGGGCCCGTCCCCAGCATTGGCTTGCGCGCTTGGATTCGGCCTTCCCCTCGGACCTCCGAAAGCCGAGCACCAGAGGTCTTTCTTGCCTGGGGTCCATCCCCAGACCTCCGACGTCACGAGACGTCATGTTTGTTTCGCAGCGTTGACCCCTGGAGGTCTCCCCGTGGCTTTGCCGTGTCACTGCTCGTAACGCACACCGCCAGAGGCCGCAGAGAGCTTGAGAGATCCACCTTCCAAAAGTCCCCAGAACCAACTTTTTTCATTCCCAGTCTTCGTTGACGCTCCTGGGCCCCGGCGAGGGCCCTCCGCGGCCGACAACGGGGAACGCACTCCGCTCGTGATGTGTGTCACGACGCGAGAGGGGGCGGGGGAGGGGGTGAGGAGGGAGCACGAGGAGGAGGAGGAGGAGGAGGAGGAGGAGGAGGGAGGAGGGAGGAGGGAGGAGGAGAGGAGGGAGGAAGGAGGAGGGGAGGGAGGAGGAGGAGGAGGAGGGGAGGAGGAGGAGGGAGGAGGAGGAGAGGAGGAGGAGGAGGAGGAGGATGGGGTCTGAGCCTGGCGTGCCCCGCTTCGCCGCCCGACACGCCGAGGCCGCCGCGCCGCCGCGCCGGGCGACCCCCGCGGCGCCGCAGGCGACGCCTGCGCGGCGGGGGCGGCGTGCGCCGCCGGGGCGGCGGCGCTCCAGGGCGGGGGCTGCGCTGCGGTGGCCGGGCGCACCGAGGGGGGGCGGGGGGGGAAATAGCACTGCGACACCACGACGCCTCTCGATCATCGATGTTTCCTCCTCCTCCGCCTCCTCCTCCTCCTCCTCCATTCTCCTCCTCCTCCTCCTCCTCCTCCTCTTCCTTCTCCTCCTCCTCCGTAGCCATTTTGGCTCAAGGCAATGAACCGTCCCGACGACCGCGAGTCTCTCGGGGCGACCTACTGAGCGCGAGGGAGGTTCCGCTTTGAGGCCGCTCTCCATTCCAAGAACGGAGACCGCTTTTCCGCGGCCCGCGCTCGACTCTTTCTCTGTGAGCTCCTGGAGGAGCAGCACTGCCCGATGGTTCTTGCTCCCCTGTTGCCCCTGACTCCCAGACCATGCGTGAGATCGCGGCCGCGATCGAGGAGTCCAGCACCTTCCCGTCGCAGGATCTCGTCGCCAAGGCGAACGCTGGGAAAGGGAAGGTCCCCACCCAGGTTCCTCCGCTCAAACGTCCTTGTGGGGGTGCTAATTCTGCTGCTGATGATGGTGGGTGGGAGGACTGCTCGGAATCGTACGTGCGCCAGGCCTGCCTCGGCCTGCTCGGCGAGTACAACGCCACCCTCACCAGCGAGATCTCCGCCAAGATCGTGGCCCAGACGTCCGAGAGCAGCAACCGCCTGCTGACCATGGTCGACGCGCTGCGCACCGAGGTCGCCAAGAGTGCTGCTGACGCCTGCGACGAGCAACGGGTCCTCAATGTCGTCCGCCCCGAGGTGGACGGCATGCACCGACGCCCTCAGCAACAACTCGATGCTCACTTTGCCAGGACTTCAGAAGCTGAGGCGAGGTTGGACGCACATGACGGTGAACTGGCTGCCCTTCGTGACGAAATGGCTTGTCTCCGCCATGCATTGGAGCTTGCCGAGCAGCGGCCCGTGGCGCCGCCCATCCCGAGCGGCTTCGACCGCTCTATCGACACGACGATGGTCTGCGCGATCTCCGTGCGGCCGACAATTGTGGAGGAAGTCAAGACGGCCTTGCAGTAATTCATCCTGCAGGCAGGCTTCCAGTAGGAGGACTTCGAGATCAGGCGACGGACCCGCTCCCGTCCAAGCGCTTCGCCATCCAGTTCCGCGGCCCTGTGGCCGTCGCTGCCCGTCGGGCTGCCGAGCTGCTGGGTTCCCTCCAGAAGCAAGATGGCTCCTGGCACGAGTTCAATGTGGCCTGCGGCACGTCGCAATGCCGCCTTCACCTGGGCCCGGATAAGAGCCCCAAGCAGATCCGCCTGGAGGTCACTCTCAGGCGGTTCCGCCAGTCGCTCGCCGAGGTCTACCCCCACTCGCAGATCGCCATCGACAGGGAGCGCGGGACGTTGTCGGTGGCCTGGAATCGCGCTGCGAAGGTGGCTGTATCCCTTGGGGACGAGCCGCCGAAGGTCATGTGGGAGGCCGCCAACCTGGCCAAGGTCGGCTTGGACAAGCAGAGGTGTGTCGACGTGGTTCGGTCCCTCACGGCACCCGATGCGGAGGAGAACTGGTGTCTTTAGCATCTTTCAGATGTTCCAGTGCACTTCTGTGTCTGCGGGAGCTCGCCGCCCGCCGATGCGATTTGCGACGTGGAACTGTCGTGCCTCGCTTCAGGCGGCGGGGGAGAAGGCTAGCCTGAAGCGTGACTTGGCTCGATTGGTTCCGAACAGTACTGAATCTCTCTTCAAGAGGTTCACCAAGATGAAGTCCAACTTCGTGCCTTTCTGCGTGCGGCTGGGCTTCAGGTGACCATCCATTCCAGCTTCTGCACTGGGGCTGCTGGGCATGCACGGGGTGGTGCGGCTGTTCTCCTGCCGCCGTTCGCAGTTCATCCCGGGGGCTCGAGTGTCGAGTCGCGGGGTGCTGAGCTGGTCCCGGGTAGGGTTCTTCGTGTTTCAAGTTTGTGCGGTGCTTCATCGCTCGCGATCTACAATGCACACAACCATGATTTGACGACCGAGCAGGTGCGCCACGTGACGGCCGACATCATCGCCTCGCTAAGCTTCGCATCCGAGGCGCCGTTGGACAGGCCGGTCGGTGCGAACGGGGACTTCAACTTCTCCGAAGCGGACTCTCTGCTGCTACACGCCCCGTCTCTTGCGCTGAGGCGGTCGGCGCGCCAACGCCATGCGCGCGCCTCGCTCTGGCGCGCGGCGCCGGGGCGGATGTTGGAGCTTGGAGGGGGGCAGCCTAAACTGGCTATCTAAGCGTCTCAAACATCCGGCGGCGGACGCGAAAAGTGCCAAAAGTAGAAGAGTACGAAAAGTGCGAAAAGTAGAAAAGTAGAAAAGTGCCAAGAGTGTCGAAAAATGTGAAAAGTGCGAAACGTGCGAAAAGTAAATCGCGAAAAATGCGAAACGTACGAAAAGTGCGGAAAGTAGAAAAGTAGAAAAGTGCGAAAAGTGCGAAAAAGTAGAAAAGTAGACAAGTGCGAAAAGTGTTGAAAAAATGAAAAGTGCGAAACGTGCGAAAAGTAAAATAGAAAAGCGCGAAAAGTAGAGAAGCAGAAAAATGCGAACATGTACATAAAAGTGTGAGAAGGACGAAAGGTGCGAGAAGTACGAAGCAACACAGTGCGACAAGTTGAGAAACGCTAATAGGTGCGAAAAACAAGAAAGTCGAACCCTGATAAAACAGGGAACGTGCGTTTGAAACTTGCGATAATAACGAATGGCAGCAAAGCGGGACTTGCGCGATAAGAGCGAACGTGGAATGAGCAACGCTTTGGGAAGGAACCGCATTTTTAGCAGCGCGCAGCGCGAGAAGCAGGACAAGTTCGAATCGCGCGAATGGTTCAACATATTATAAACGAAAAACAAAGGAGCGGCAGGAGGGGCAGGAAGATGAGGCGTGGCCGTGTTCCACATGTGTTTTTCTTGCGTTTCGCTTGTCCTCGTATGGAGCACTCTTGTGTTTTTGTTGTCTTTGCTTTTTTTCTAAGTTTTTCGCGCTAGTTGCCGAGCGCGTTCAAAAACCTCGATCCGCGTCCAGTTCGCTGCCCGCATACTTGGGAACACGCCTGCTCAGGTGCACTTCCCGTCTAAGCCCCCCCCGTCTTTCTCAGCAGCTACGTCCATCGGCTGCAAAGCAAGAAAGGAGGGAGACGGCATCGAAGACGCCTCCGGCGAATCACCGCCGCCCCTTGCGTTTTTGGAAAGCGCTTCTGTGGCCAATCGTTGGGCCACAGGCCGGCCAAGCTGCCGGATGGGGAGGGGGAGGAGGAGGAGGGGGGGGGGATGGGGAGGAGGAGGAGGAGGAGGAGGAGCAGGAATGCGGCACGAGGAGACTGAAGAGGAGGAGGAGGAGGAGGAGGAGGAGGGCAGGAAGGAGCGGACCATGATAAGGAGAATGACAAGGTGGGTTTTGGGGCTATGTTGTGGCGAGGGGTTCTTCGAGGACTCGCGATGCCTTCTTGGCGCCATTTTGGGGTCCTCTTGGGGTCCTCTGGGGGCCCTCGTGGGGCTCTTTGGAGGTGTCCAGGGGGCCTTCCTGATGCTCTTTTGGGAGCTCTGGGAGCGCCTCTCGGGGCAATCTTGGGCCCCGCTGTTCAAAAACAGGCCGGCGGCTGCAATTCAGGCCCCCCGCCCCTCGGAGGCTCAAAAAGAGCGTCTTGGGGCTCTCTTGCGCCGCTTTTGGAACGCTCCTGAGCGCTCTTGGAGCCGTCTTGGGGCCCTCTCGTGGCCAACTTGAGGCCTCAAGAGCCCATCGGAAGCGACAAGACGAGAAGGCAACACACATATGTTTTCTGTTGGTTTTTGACAGGTTTGGGCCTCTTGGGGGGGTCCTCGGAGGGCTCGGAGGGCACTCGGAACCGTCTTGGGGCCGTTTTGGAGCCTCCTGGAGGCATGTCGGAAACTATCTTGGGCCATCTTG